GCGAAATTTTGTTACCTAAGGAAGACTCTGTTGCMTWAGAAGTACTCCTTAAGACTGTGTTGCCAAAAGAAGAATTCTTTTGAGGATAAAGACAGAGACTTTTGAATTCCTWCACTGAAATSCGACTCCWGGARARGATGGACTTTATTATCTGTAGTCTACTGTTTATTTCTCTATGTTGACAAGATAATCTGCATTTACTTATAATGTGCTGATAACATTCCTGTTAAATGCTATAAAGTCTCAGACAATTTACTCCATCAGAGAGCATATAATTCTGATTTATATTACTTTTTTGAGAGTGTTATAAAATACACATACATACATTCTTGTTTCTATGTTACTATAGATATTTGTGCATTGTTTGCATCCAGTCCAAAACCCTGCCAAGGAGCAGGAAAATCGCATTAAAAGCACCCCTGACAGATGGCCATCTAGCCTCTGTTTAAAAGCCTCCAAAAAAAGGAGCCTCCGCCACAATATACATTTACTGATATCAAGGGTGCTGTCTGCTGTTCATTTTATTCTGAGTCATTACCTGGAAAAAGATTTATATTGAAGAAAAGGAAAGACAGACTGACCCAAAATATCAAATGGCAGTAGGATTATGTGTTCCTGTGAGACAGGAGGCTATGCTGGTGGCAGCAGTGCTGCACGTAAGGTCTCCCAAGTTGGGGAGACATTTCCTGAAAAGCCAGCCTAAGGCTGTATCTACACTACTCGGTATCCCAGGATCTGATCCCAGGTTATCTGCTTTGAACTGGATTATATGAGTCTCCACTGCCAGATAATCTGGGATAAACAGATAATCTGGGAAAGTAGTAGTGCATGATTCTGGCAGTCCCTTTGTTTCTTCAAAGTTATTTCATAATTGGGAAATGTAAGACAGGGATGAAGAAACATTGCTTTATGCTCCTGCCCTTACACTGACAGAGTGATTGTGAACTTCCAGTGTTTGGAATGTTTACTTTTGAGCATTAGAATATGTCCCTGTGCCCTAGTGGTTGGGGAATTCTGTAAGCTGCAGTCAGAAGACTCACTGTCCCGAGCTCTGTACTGAAGCCAAGTAAGAGTGAAAATAGAAGTTGTAGTGTCTTTTGGCTACAAAGGAACTGTAAATACTGTAAATATAATGTTCTTTGGAAAAAGTAGCAACAACAGGCATGAATCTTGTTGCTGATAAGTAGGGCAAGTATTTTGTTTTCTCAGATTACATCATTTCTCTCCCTCTTCCCTCCTTTATGTCTCCCATCTTTGCAGCCTGAAAATGGTGGCTCCCAAACAGTGGGAAAGCAGTTCAGTTCTCAGTCCTGATAGAACCAGGCTACTTGTGGAAAAGCAGAAGTTAACAGAAAAAGCCATCTGAAAACATTAGTGCAGTGGTTCTCAATCTGTGGGTTCCAGATGTTTTGGCCTTCAACTCCCAGAAATCCTAACAGCTGATACACTGGCTGGGATTTCTGGGAGTTGTGGGCCAAAACATCTGGGGACCCACAGGTTGAGAACCACTGCATTAGTTGATTAGAAATCTGTTGAATAATGATAACAATAAAAAAGGAAAATGACAGAGAAATCATCTCACAAATTTTATACTAATAAAATTAATTGGAGCTCATAAAGTAAAAATTTATTCCCAACATATAAAATAACCAACCTTTTCTTCCAAATCCTTGATCTGTCTCTTCTGGATGTCAGTTTTATCTTCTAAATCTCTGATCCTCTAGAAATCAAATGAAGAACTTGCATAAAAACTGATAAAAGCTTACGCTGAATTATTCTTTGCTCAGGAAAGTAAAAGGAAGGGTTCCAAGGTAAAAGCTCATTGATATGAAAAGTAGTCATTTTTTTTTTTTGCTGAAAGTGGATATATCATTTCAAGGATAAAAATCAGTGTGTTCCTGAATTCATTGGGAAATCCAGGCCCCTTTTACGCTGCCATATAATTCAGATGATTAAAGAAGGTAATCCACATCTGTATGAGTCTACACTGCCAGATAATCCAGTTCAAAGCAGATAATCTGGATTTTATAAGGCAGTGTAGAAGGGGCCCCAGTATCTTGTTCTCTTGTGGAGCAGTTTCTCTTTTTGAGAAACCCATTTAATTTTCCCAGAGTGGGATATCCAGCAAATCAGAAGTAACTTAATTGGCTAATAGGGAGTGAAGCAGCTGCTTCATTCACTTTCATTCTTGGTCTATATAAGCAGTTTCTTCCAGGCTCCTTTTACACTGCCAGGTAATCCAGATTATCAAAGTGGATAATTGATATTATCTGCTTTGAGCTGAATTATATGAGTCTACCCTGCCATTTAATCCAGTTCAAAACATATAATCTGGATTTTGTATGGCAATGTAGAAGAGGCCTCAGTCAGTTCACTTTAATTGTCTTCCCTACTTGGCCTCCCTAAATTTGTGAGTTTTTCTTTAGATGGCCATTGAGTCATTGGTATTACACTGTTATTATTCATTGTCACAACTTTGGGTGATTTGAGAAAGACAGATCTAGTTTGGGGTCTGTATATCCAGGAGGGCTCACCTTATAGCAATGGTTCTCAACCTGGGATCCCCAGATGTTTTTGGCCTACAACTTCCAGAAATCCCGGCCAGTTTACCAGCTGTTAGGATTTCTGGGAGTTGAAGGCCAAAAACATCTGGGGACCCCAGGTTGAGAACCACTGCCTCATAGGATCTCTGCAGTGTAGGCAGCCAGATTTAAGCCCAGTTCAGGGGCAGATGGCTTTTCCTCACTTCCTGGGGGTCAGGAGAATCACAGAGTGCCTTCTGCCTGCGTTGATTCATAAGTCTGTCATACCACAGCTATCCATCAAGTGGGATGAGTAAATGGGTCAAGTTGACTGATATATTGGCTACAACTGTCCAGTAGCTGGATCGCCCAGTGATGTGCAGAAAGGCTACTTGGCTGTAAACAATAAAATTCTATCTTTTTCTTTTCCATCAAAATGTGGTCTGTAGACATTCTTGGTAAAGGTGAAGCCCATACATGTTGTTGGTTCTGCAAATTGGTGTCCATGAAAGAAGGAATCATATACGAATCACACACACACACACACACACACACACACACAAAGTTGCGCTTGTGTATAGGCCAAAGGCAGGCTTTAGGGCCAAAATTACGGATTTTGATATGACCTGTGGATAAGTTAAAGGCCATTTCACAGAAAGCAGAAAACACCAACTGGCTCAGGAGGCCAGCCACTCCTGGCCACCATCACCACTTCTCTGTCCAGGCATTAAAAAGGCCATGGCAGAAAAAGTAGTGGTGGGTGGCACTTCTTTTAGGTTCTCCTGGGACACATGAAACCTTTGCCTTTCATAACTTTACTCAGAGAAGAGAATGGATCCTTTTCTATATGAGTTAAGGTTCAGTACTCACAGTGATCTGTGGATAAGTTAACCCAGTTATTTAGGTTGATTTTTGACTAAGATTTTTAGACTTAGACAGAAGTATATAGGGTAATTCCCACTCAGTGGTATCAATAGGACCTAATGTTATTCTATACATCAAATATTTTGATGAAATTGGAACAGCATGACAATATCATTTATTTTTCACACAATCACATCAGACACACATCCCTTCCCAAATCTCACCTGATGTGCCTGCTGAAGCAGTTCCATTCTCTCTTGTAAGATCTGGCAGTCATATTCTCTGCTTTTCCTTAGCATTTGCCTTCTTAATTTTTCAACAGCTGTCCTAAGCTCTTCCTGTTGTTTCTCACTGAGCAACTCCCCAAACTTTATCACTGTTTCTTGCTGCAAAGCATTGTATAATGTGGCTTCAAGCTCCTGGATTCTCTAAAACAATGGAACAGAAAAAGATGGTTAGTGGATCTATGCAAAACCAAACTTTCAATTCAAAGATATTTTTAAAATTGTTATGTTGATGACCCCAGCCTTTGAAAATGGAAGTGAACATTAAACATGTGATAGCAATGTCTTAGTCTACTTATCTGTATGCCAGACTCGAAAATTTGGTGAATGCTAATAATTTCACATGAATCTCCAAAGTAAGGAAAGAGTTTATGTAATGAGCCAGTGTGGTGTAGTGGTTTAAAAGCTGGGCTAGAAGTCTTGGTTTGGAATCGATCTTGGCCTTGGAAATCCAGTGAGTGATCTTGGGTAAGTCATGTTCTCTCAGTCTCAGAGGAAGGCAGTGGCAAATATATGCCAAATAAATCTTGATGAGAAAGTTCTTTGGCAGGGTTGCGAAAAGTCAAGGTGACTTTGTTGTTCTGTGAAGGCACAGAACAACAATGCTGCATTTCATCTTCCAGCACCACAGTTCAAAAGCGTCTGTCTTCCTTCACTCAGCATTCCCTATCGTCCAGCTCTCACATCCATAGGTTACTATGGGGAATACCATTGCTTTGACTATGCAGATCTTCATTGCCAGTGTGATGTCTCTACTCTTCACTATTTTATTGAGATTGGTCATGGCTTTCTTCCCAAGAAGTAAATGTCTTCTGATTTTTCTGGCTGCAGTCTGCGTCTGCAGTAATCTTTGCACCTAGAAATACAAAGTCTGTCACTGCCTCCATGTTTTCCCCCTCTATTTGCCAGTTATCAATCAGCATTGCTGCCATAATCTTGGTTTTTTTGATGTTTAACTGCAACCCAGCTTTTGCACTTTCTTCTTTCAACTTGGTGAGAAGGCTTCTCAGCTCCTCCTCGCTTTCGGCCATAAAAATGGTATCATCTGCATATCTAAGCTTGTTAATGTTTCTTCCAGCAATTTTAACTCCAGCATTGGATTTGTCAAACCTTGCATATCACATGATGTGTTCTGCATATAAGTTGAATGGGTTGGGTGAGAGTATACAACCCTGCCATACATCTGTTGTTTCATGGTCAGTTCTTACTGTTGCTACTTGGTCCTTATACAGATTCCTCAGGAGAGAGACAAGGTGATTTGGTATCTCCATACCACCAAGAAATTGCAGAGTTTAAGTAACCTATGTCCCAAAACAAATGTATCTGTGGTCACAATAGACCTTGCTTTCAACTTACCATGTAGGCTTGGTCAAGAGCTTGTTTCCTATAGTCCAATTCTTCCTCTAAGTAACCTTTTATTTTACAGAATTGCTCCTATGGTGATTGAAAAAGAGAAATAATTTCATGAGAAAGCTAAAACAAAATGCATATTTGATGCTCAAACATTCATAGAAAAAAAAGAGAGCAATGTATCATTATGCAAAGGATAGAGAATAAAGTGATACAAAGACCAACATGTGTCCTGTCCTACCATGTCACTCTCCAGTTCCATCATCTTCTGGTGCAGAGCTGCCTCAGCCCCTTCAATCTGCTGGATCCACTACAAGATGAATGATATCAGTATGTTATTATTGGTGCCAGAATCAGAAAGGAAACAAACACCTTCTGAGTGGCTTTCTTTCCATTTCAGTAACTGTCAAATCTGATCTAGTAATTCTGTCTGTATCTGCTTGTCATTTGTTTATTTGGAAAATCAAGGAAGGGGATGGTGGCATGGATCATATATTACTGTATCCCACATTTTCTGACCGGGCATTCCTAATCTTTAATCCCAGATATCTGGTGGTAGGCTATAGTTCATGTAACGTTTTACCGTAATTGCACAGTAATGGTCAACGAAAAAACAACAACAACAGTATGATGAGAAACATTTTGCTGTTACTTTTTATATCCAAAGCATTTTTAAAAACATTCAGGGTTGTTCAGGCAACCCCAAAGTTTTACTCAAGGATGGTGATCATTCGGCCTACAATTTCTCCAGTTTCTTTTCATTGGTTGCCTTGAAACAGGAGTTGAAAGCCAAAAGATTTCTCATCCACTTTATCCCAGTTCATTCAGGTGAATCTTTTTATCTTCCAAGTTGAGACAATGTATATGGATATCACATTTATTCTTTGTGTGGGCATCCCATGTGTGTTGTTGCTTGGCTTCCTCCATTCAGAGGACTGAGCAGTTACTTCATGTTGTGCTGTGCAATCTTCTCAACACTCATCCGGTTCTCATTAGCAGCATCTACAGACTCTGTGCCAGGCAGCAGCAGCAGCACGTCTGTTCTCCATTCAAAGGACAGACTGGGCTACTCTGGATTCATCACTGCTGGGTGCTTTATGCTATACTATTTCTCATCATTTCTCTGCTTAAAGGGCAGATGCTGCTGACTAGTGTAAATTCCTAGTCTGCACCACAGATTGAGCTGTTAGTTCTCCCACAATAAGAGCACTCTGGCCAAGCAAATTTCACAACTCAATATTTGTCTTTTCTGGTATCCGATCTCTACTGTAACATTCTCTTACTGTAGCCAGAGTACTAAGCCAGGCAGTTCCTTGGACAAATTAACTAGGTAGTGAAAAACATAAAATGATATGGATTGGCCTACAATGGATCACAATACAAGCAATAGGAGACAAGTTACTGTTTGCTTTTCTGTGGCTGCCTCCAGTCATAAAAATATCCTTGAGAATAGAGAGCAACCTGGCTTACAAGTGATGACTAACAAATTGTTTCATCCTGTTCAGCATAGCATCATTGGAGAAACAAGCCAGAGTGCTGACTGATAGTGGGTTTGGCTGTCACCAAATGATGGAGCAATGTATTGTGGTTTGTTTAGCTGCTCCTAGTAGCAATGAGAGGAATCAGCTATATTGCACATACTTGATACCTGCAGCTCCCTGGATTGTCATTATGTCTGAGCAAAGTTTCTGAGTCAAAGAGTCACAGAACTTGCATGCTTTCTTGTATTTTTAATAGTCCCTCTTTCTAATTCTGTACAAATGCCCCACTATTCTTCCTATGTGGTATGTGCATAGACATGTACATATATATAATTCATACTAAGTAACATACTTGATAAATCAAATGTCCAAAAAGTACCTTTTCTGCCAGAGATAAGACAGTACTGGCTTGAATTATAGCCACTTGTTCTTCATTTCTTAAGTTCTGTAAGAGGCAAAAATCAAGTTAAGGAAGAAGCATCAGGTTACTAAATAAACACTAACTGGTATTGGAGAACATCCTCCTTTGATTTCTCAATTCTAGTTACAGAGTCCATTTTCCCATTTAAATGAATGAGAAACTTGCAGGCACATAATTTAAATATAAATATAGACACTACCGTGCCCATTTCTTGTATTATCAAAACATTGATATTTGTATATTAACAGAAACATATACAAGTGTTTCTGAAACAACAACAACAACACACAATAATATTTGAAATAATATTTGACTTAACTCATCCTAGATTCAAAACAGGATAAATCAGAAAAAGACTTGAAGGCACAAAACTACAAAATGTTTCATGCAGTTCCTATTTATAAAATCACACAAATGTGACCATGGCCATACAGCCCGAAAAAACCTACAACAACCCAGTGATTCCGGCTATGAAAGCCTTCGACAATACATGGCTAACTATCAGGACTTTCCCAACACTAGATAATTCAGCATCTCAGATTATTATCATTGTCATCATCATGATCTTTATTTCCATCCTGCTTTCCCCCCATAGGGACTCAAGGCAGTTAACAATAACATGACACAACATCATAAACCACATTTTGTTGACAAAGGCTACATGGGAAGACATTATAAACAAAGTTGGGTTGTTGTAGGTTTTTCCGGGCTATATGGCCATGTTCTAGGGGCATTTTCTCCTGACGTTTCGCCTGCATCTATGGCAAGCATCCTCAGAGGTAGTGAGGATGCTTGCCATAGATGCAGGCGAAACGTCAGGAGAAAATGCCTCTAGAACAAGGCCATATAGCCCGGAAAAACCTACAACAACCCAGTGATTCTGGCCATGAAAGCCTTCGACAATACATAAACAAAGTTGTTTTATCTAGTTCATTCCTGCTGTAAGGTTTGTGCTTCATATCTTTTTCAGGCTTATCTTTGTTAGCTTACATGTTTTCTTTAATATGCTGAACATAATATGTATTGTTAGCTATCATATCCCTTACCCCATTATCGCCCAAGATGTCCAGCTGCTTTATGAGATCTGGAATGCTAACATCCTATATAAAAAAGATGGCATGAATAAGATTAGACATTCTAATGACTAGTAATGTTAGTTTCAGTTTACATGCTTGGAAAACCACAGTGTATTCACTATTGCTGCTCTGAGAGAGAAAAACCCTAACAACTGAGCCCCATTCCCAATAATTCACTGGTAGGATGAGAATAATGTAAAGATGTGAATCGTGTGGGGGCAGCAGAAGATCAAAAGAGGGTGGGACCAACCAGCTGTGCCTGATAGGACAGGGCTACAGCTATAGCATCTCAAAAGGAAGAGTCCTTGTTGCATGGTGTAGAGGTAAATCTTAAGGCAGATAAGATTTATCATCAAGTTTTTGATGAACCCTTTCTTTCTGTGTGGAAAAAACATGAACCTTCCAGGGAAAATCCTCAGTTTTCTTCTCTTTTGTCACTACTCTAATAATCAAACAATATATGTAATAGCAATTTCTCCCTATTTGAGTAACATTATTCTGTATTTATTGTATGTTCGGCTGAAATTTAAACAGACAGTGGTAAACCAGGTCATGCAGCAGTTTGGGCCAGTGTTCTTACTCCACCACTTCTACTATCCATAAAATATGCATAGGAACTGATAAGGTTCTACCAGGTGGCTAACAAGATTTCAGCACTGTATTATATAAATCTGATTCTACAGATGCCAGGAAAAAAAGAGTGTTCCAAATCCTAAGCCATATTCTATAGGCAAAACTTTAATCGAGTGTACAGTGAACCTTGGGAATAATGGGACTGGAAGCACACCTTATTCCCAAGATCCATGCATTGTATACTCCTGAACATGTACATTTATGTGTAGATTCCCATACTCACGATACAAATGTCCTAAGATACTGGAGGTTACAGACTGTGTGCAGGACAGACACTAGCACATGATGGGATCCAAATTCCTTCCCTCTCTGTAGCCATTTGTCTATAGATGAAAAACCTAATGCTTAGAAGGACAGATAGCAGGCTCTGTTTTTCTAGCTACTCCATTCTAACTTACCTTCACGCCTTCTTTCATGCAGTAGATCTGTAGAGCGCTTACACCATCAGAGAAAGGGTGGATTTGCAGATTAAAGGGTGGAGACCTTCTTTCTCTTTCCTTGAAATAAAACATTAACATTATTTAAGAAATAAACAAGCAATTTACATTGTCTATTGACCAGAGAATAACTCCTGTCTCACATTTTAATTTACATGCACTGTTCAAGCAGTTTTGTACTTTTTTCTTTTAAAGTGTAACAAGCTGAAAAGATGGCTGGGTGGCAGAGCTGCTTTGCAATAGAGATACTGAACCCTAAAGCTAGCAAAGTAATTTGTCATACTTTACCCTTTAATAGATAACAGCTTAATCTGACTGTTACTCCCAACTAAAATAGAGCTACTAAATGAATGTTACTTTGGTAAATCAAAACACATGTAAATTTCATTCATTCAATAAAGCCACTCATGTTGAAACTACAATTTGATTTTAAGCTTTTATTTTTTTCCAAATTATATATTTTCCTTTCATCCCCTTGATTTTATGTGTTTTGCAGAGTTATTTGATTATTTGTTCTCAGCTTACCTGATTCTAAAGTTGCAGGTATGGATCCTATAGTACAAAGCATTATAAAGCACACTATTGAAGTGCACAAGTGCCTGCCTTCAATAGCTCTGCATAGATTCTATAGATATATTGCACCATATAGTTGGGTTACATTATCAAAGCCAAGAGACAATATCCTGGCTAAAATGGACAGTGCTGATGTAGTCAGCTTGCATTGACAAAGCACATACACAATATTCCTCATCAAAGCTGCTAGTGCTCACATAGTATGCGAAGGGATTTTGTAGTTAGTGCTTTGTCAATGCAACCTGACTGTATCAGCACTGTCAGGACTGGAGAGTTTAGCCTAGTGTAAATATGTCCCCGGAGCAGCCATAGATCTAGCACAGTTGTGCAACACCTGGGCCCTTTATTCACATAGCCAGTTGCTCCACTGGAATGATGTGTATCTGACCTCCAACTGTGTCTTCACCACCACCCCTGCTCCTAGCTGGCCATGGAACTACATGACTGTTGTTCCTGGTTGTTGCAGGTGCCTCTGTTGACATCAGAATGGGGTGTCTAAATGACCACCATGAAGGAGGGGGGCAATTCTTGCATGAAGCTTTGTGGTCAGTTAGGAGTGACAGTGGCACAGTCATGATCCATCCCCTTTCCCTTTGCTGATGAGTGCAGGAAAAAGAAAATCAGCAGATCAGGCGAAATCAGACCAGATCTAGGTGTCCAAACCACCCTCAAACTACAGGATACTCTGGAGTTCCCAGCAAATTCCACAGTATCACACAATTTTGCCTGATGCCACACAAAGCCAATTTAAACTACCACCACCCCGCCCCCAGAAAACCATGATTTAGTGGGTTCCTCTGCTTAAGAGTAACCACTAGAATTTGTCTGGAAATATCAAATATGAACCATGCATCTATTCTCCTCCCCTGCCATCATTTTTGGGTCTATTGTAGATATCCTTACTTCAAGCTCTAGATTTCGAAACTCCAAGAGCTCATTCTGATCTCTGGCATCCTGTAATTCTTGTTGCAATCGATGGTTATCTGCTTCCAGTTTTTCTATCTAGAAATAAAATGTAAATTTATAATTTGTGGAGGAAACGTCAAAATTATTTGTTGGGAAATCCATGATCATCAATTTCTCCTCTCTCTACTGCAACAAACACCCACTCCCTCCAAATATATCTGTTTTAACTTTGTCAGCGGGCTGATATTAATTATATATATATATATATAGAATCCCCGTGCCTTTAAAATGTGCTATAAGCATAACTTGCCTTTAAAATAGAAGGAAAAATAACAAAAGCAATCTGGCACATAGAACAAGATTCAGATGTACTGATTTGGGATCAGGGAGGAAAATAAACTTTTAAAAGCTATCTTTGAAGACTTTAAAATGATTACTGCATGTCTTGAAAAAAGGGGATTTTACAATATTTATGGTATGCATAAAGTACATTTATACGGCTCAGCTTTTGAGCCAAACTGGAATTCTTTAACTGCTTTGAAAGGATCATTCCACCAAATTGTAAAAAAATTAAAATAAATGCTGACAAAGGATACTCTGGGTCCTATATCCCAGGATCTGATCCCAAGTTTTCTGCCAGATAATCTGGGATGAACAGAAAACTTGGGATCAGATCCTGAGGTATAGGGACTGTCTAGAAGGGCCCTCTGAGAATCTAATAATGCAGTAAGAATCTTGTGTTAGTTTAATTTCTATTTCTATTTAATATTAATATATTTAATACAAAGATTCTTAAATCTATTAAAATAAATGGGAGAAGTTATGACAACATTCCTATTGATTCCAATGACTTCTTCTGAACATGGCGGAGTTTCAGAGTGACTCAGTGTGTATTATTTTCTCCACATAGGAACTTCTGTAAAAATGATAACATCATAGTTTGGGCACATCTATGGTTTTGACCATTTCTGAATATCTAAAGAAACATTTGGCTTCCAATCATGCAGTTAGCATTTGGAATATATTAATAGATAGTACTTAGATTGTAAGCATCATATTCTATACATTGATGTATATTTGGCACACTGATGTTTTATACATACCTTATCCAAAAGTTCCTGATTTCTTTTAATAAAAAGTTGCTTATCTTCTACCCAGTGGGAGTCCTGTTTGATAAAATGCATACATTTACAAAAATGCTATACATACATACATACATACATACATGTATGTATGTATGTATGTATGTGTTTACATGTAAAAAATAGGCAGACATCTGTTCATCACATATGGTGGTGTATACATAGTTTTGGTATGGGATAAGAGGATCAAAAAATAAAACCAGTCTTTACTGGGCTGGGATTTAGAACAACAGAAAATTGTGATCATGACAGTGATTTAAGGCTCCAGGGACGAAGAAAATAAAAACAGTGCTGATACAACTTCTTGATTGTGCGTATTCACTACCAGATTAATCCCTAATTGTGTTAAGTTAGTAGGGGCATTTCACTAGAAGGGCATGTATGTATACACACTTTTTGAACACTTTTAGATTTATATTGTAATTCATTATAGTTTACCTTTCAAACATGGCAAAATAATTTTCCTACACAACCAAGCAAGCTAATAAGTATTTTTTTATTAGTATGAAAAACATCTACCTGTCCTTTCTGAGCCAGGGTTTTTTCCAGGTCTTCTATTTTAGCTCTGTATCTCTGGACTTCAGCTTGCAACTGCTCTTGTGCCTGTTAAAAATAATAACCACACCTTCATTAAAGACATTTTCAGCACATATTAGAGTGTTTGAATTTCATGTTACTGTAGGTGAAAACCAGACAAAATTAAGCATTGTAAGCAATGTGCTGAAATTCTGTTGGTTTCATTCTGATGTGTACATTCAATTCCCATTGGTATATTTGTATATTAATTCTCTATTTAATTTGTACTGGTTTTTCTTAGAGTTGCGATCCTGATTAAGAGCAGAATCAAAATTATATAGAAGCAAGCAACCAAACAAGCAAACACGCCATGGGTAAGTGAGGGAGAGAGAGAGAGAGAGAGTTCTCTACATTCCTATCTGCATTGTACTTAATTAATTTGAAAACCAGGTTTGAACTGCAAATGCTGCTTTTTTAAAGACAGATTGAACACCGGGTTTTAGTGACACATTTATGTAGGATAATGAGCTTTCTAGTTATTACAATGACCAGATTACTATATTTTTATACTGCAGTGTAGAGCTAGGTCTTATATCAACAAGCAGGCGCATAAAGGAATCTGCTTACATGACAATGACCTTCATATGTAAGTCAATAAAAATCTGCTGAGTCTACCCAAGAGGTTATTTTGGAAATAGAGGAGCTAGAAAAATGAGTATATAAAAATGTTGCCAACCCCAATACTTTGGCATCACTTAATGATCTAAAATGGTTTAGTGCCCAAGTACATGATCCTAGCACAGTTACTTGCCTCGTGTACATTTTTGTTGACAGTACCTAGACTCTTATCATGCTTTTGAACATTTGAAGTAATTCACATGCATTTCAATTTGACCTGGAATTTTGTTTTACATTTGAGATCTGCTATGGATCCTCTCATCACCCAAGGTAAAGCAAGTAGATACTTAAACAAAGGCCTTTCTGGAATAGGCATCTATATTAATTATTTAATTATTAATATAATTAATATATATTTGGGGTGGTATACACACACACAGATGATCAAATGACAGATAAAGATTAAATTGTGCCTGTTTTGATACACCCAGGATGCATGTGCCAGTCTGCAGAGTTGTGTGTGTGAGTGTCTGTGTATTGTGTGTGTGTGTGTTTGTGTGTGTGTGTGTGTGAGAGAGAGAGAAATAAAACTGACTCCATCAAGCAGTAGCTAATCCCTGGTGTAAATGAATGCATGACAATATGGGCAATAAGGAATGTGAACTCTATTTCTTCCAGATGTCCTTGGTCTACAGACTCCACCAGCTCTTCCCAGCACAGTCAATGGGAGCTGCAGTTCATTAGCATCTGGAGGATCAAGCCATTGATGTTCCTGCCCTAGACTATGCCCCTAGATTCCTATATGAAGTCCCATTGTTAGGCACAATGAAGCTTCTTTTTGGCATTATGAGAATATATTTAACTCCACTAAGTTGCAATTGTTGTCCCCAGTGTGGGATTTCCTGTCCCAGGCCCAAGATGTATTTGGCTAGATTTGTATACTAAGCACTTTTGCTTGTTGTCCCTCAGACAAAAACGTCTTGAGCCAACTCTTTTTCCTGTATGAAAGCTTACTGGGTCAAATTCAGTGAAGCAAAGAAGCATCTGCTTTTCTCTCTATATATTTATATCTATATTGATCTTTTGGGAGGCTTGTAATACATGTGCCATTTGCTACAAGAAGGGATTGTCGTTGGGGACCTGACTGGTTTGCAAAATGTATTATTCGGGTGATTTAGAAATAGAAGGTAGTCATATTGTTCACTGAGGCATAAATGTGTTAGGACTTTTTAAGAATAGGCAAGAACCCTATTCAGCTCAGCCTCTCATTCTTAGTAATGGGATGGTGGAGATGTGTTTTCTCTGCACAAATACCTCCGTAAAATACCAAATATGCTGACTTTTGCTTTGTTAACTTTGTGATAATCTTCACATCTCTTTTGAAATGCTGCCCTGATTGAACCTTTCTTTTCTCTCTGCTCTAATTTTGATCTTATTTCCATCTTTAGAAATCATGGACACTTGCTAATTCTATGTACAGTGTGCTTCATGACCAGGTCTCTCACTCAGGGGGGTGAGCCTGGAGAGCTGAGGGAAGTGTGAGAAAAAACTGTCCACAACCAGGCCTAGATGACATCCTTGGTACCCCAGAAGTGCCATGGTTGCAGAAGCCCATTGTCAGTTCCTCTCCCATCCAAAGGGATTATGTAGCTTCCTCAGACTGTGAGAAGTCTATTAAAGGGGCTCCTGCAAAACCACCTGCTCCTCTACTTAATCTATTTATTCACTGGTATAGGTTGTTTCACTGAGCTGCAATTACCCTCAAAGTGCGAATGGCAAAAGCAACATTTAAGCACATCTTCTATGAATCTACAGCAGCTTAAGCTCTCCATGCTGCTGTCCAATGTTCTACTTAAAGCCTAGATCCTTAGTTTTGGTTTACCAGAACCTAGACTATGGGCCCTTTCAGACAATCCCTATATTAGCAAGTGTCCATGATCCCAGGTTTTCTGCTTTAACCTGGATTATATGAGTCCTCACTGCCAGATAATCTGGGATAAATAGAAAATCTGAGAGCAGATCCTGGGATATAGGGCCTGTCTGGAAGGGCCCTGTGTAGCCTTGCCCTGCCTTGCTAGACTTTTTCCTCCTTTGCCAAAACCAGAACTTATGCCTTGAAATGCCTTTTTGAGCTATGCTTTCTATGTTGCTAAGGTCATTAGAACAGAAAGGTGTCATGCATAGTTTGGAGTAATGTACGCTGATGGCATTCTGTAAACTACAATAAACAAGCTTCAGTTTCTTCTTACATTTCTCCTCATGTTTTTTAGTCTAAAAATTACAATTAAAATTGTCTTGATCCTGGCCTGTACAAACCTTTGCTTCTCTTTCTGCATCAATGATGCCCCCTGTTTGCTCTTGCAGTAATGCATAAGCCCTTTGCAAGGCTTGATACTCCTTTGTCAGTTGTCGAAATCGTAGCTCTGATTCTTCAGCTGCTAAGCTCTACAGAAGAAAGAACTCAGGTGAGTATCAAATGTAGAACTGTGACAAAAATACTAAATACATAAGAGTGGCTTACGGTTCTATATACTCCGTGACAAGCCACCAAATACCTTTAAGAATTGAGAAATACCAGAATTAAGTATTATAAGCAAGCAAGAAATATGTATGTGAATCATGTGACAGGTTTTAAAAAAATAGTGGCTGAAGGTGAGGGCAATCTGTTTCTGAAGTACAGACCAGGGAGAGTTTAATACATTCCTCAAGACATTTTTCAGGGTTTTGGAAAATTACTTTATTCAGTGTCAGCTCATAAAATCCACATTTTTGTGGTTTCAGAATTTACACTTCCAAGTACTGCGATTTAGTGATTGAACACCATTCCCTCCACTAGCTGCTATTTTCCCAAATGTGCTATTTGCTGTTAGTCACTCTGTAAGCAATGACCAGTTAGGATAAGTTTTAGTAGGAAGATGATGTGTGGGGAAAGTGTTCAGCTTTGATTCTCTTGATACCTTATGAAATCTAATCCAATTACTTCCACTTTTAAAAAAATCAGAAGTTGAACTCTGGGGTTCTGATATGTGATTAAATGTTCATGCTTTCTGAATCAGGACATTTCAGGTTAATAGATAGTAAAGCAGCACTTAAAATTATTTAAAATGCCAGGGAAATTATTTCTTAAAGTCAAAGAGGTAAAGAATTGCAAATAGGGAACTGATAAGGACAATACTTAGAATTTGATAAAGTTAGTTTTTGAACTATAAATATCAGCCTCAGGCATGTAACCAGGGGGGGAGGGGGCTTGAAGGGCTTCACCCCCCCCCCCGAAATTCTCATGGTGGTTCGCGAAAAGGCCTTACTGGTGCATTATTTAAACTGTTATGTTTATTCATATTATGATCTGATCACCATACTCAATATATCCCATATGCATGGGGGTATTGGGGTAACGATACAAAAGTTTTGCTAGGGTAGACCCTCTTTCACTCAGACTCAGCCCCCCTGAAACTCAGCCCCCCCCCCAAACCCTCCCTGAAAAAAACTACCCCCCCCCCCCGAATCGAAATCCTGGCTACGGGCCTGATCAGCCTGACTACTGGCCACAATAACATTACGAAACTCTTATAGAAATGCATCAAATTGTGCAGTCACATATGTGGCTGTAACCATTTTCGACAGAATACATGAACATTTCATTTATCTATTCATTGACTGTACTGATTTTTTAAAAAAGGGACATGGGATTCTCCATCTCATTATGTTTCTTCTTTATATGCAACATTGTAGACTATATATGTCTTGTAGAATATATTAGTGTTATGCCTCAGACATTTTAGTTTAGCATTTCTTTTTAAAATTTCAGCTCAGTAATGGAAGGAAATCCTTTAAGAACAATTCCTTGCACTCCAATCCTCACTTCCAACAAGTTAAGCTTTATGAGAGAATGAAAAGGACCATACCTCATCTAGGTCTTCATCTGGTGTTGCTGGTGTGCGATCTGTTCTGAATGAAGCCATGGATGAAGTTTCAGAGTCCATTGAATCATCATCACCCCCATAAACTGTGTCCAATATGTGCCTCTGAATAAAGAATAATGAAAAATAAGACTTTCCCACCAATACTAAGTCCCACAACCAAGCCTACTCATAACAATATATCTTAGAACACAATAGTTGCTGCTTTAACTGTATTTCATGTGCCATTGAGCTATAGCAGCACTAGTCAACAATGGCAGTATGGCGTACTGAGGTTCACATAATTCAGAGTGTGGTGAATCCTCTTTGGATATAGATATACAAATGGATTTGTACCACATCCCCTTTTAGCAGATATAGTTTCATGATCTACTGTAGCCCATGAGAGAAATCCCAAAAAGTCACTGCACAAGATCAAGATCAAAATAATAAACATTGCCTGCTACCGAAGTTTATGATTTTGATTTATTATTTATAGAGTCCTATTAGTGTACATAGAACCTGACTGGTGTGAATTTTAAGCTAGTGGCTTCCATATCAGGGAGGTAGTAAATATGCATTGAACTTTATCCTGAACTTTAAAGTAGCTATCAACAGTTCTAAGTCCTATCTCCAAAACAGGTTCAGCACCTTAGACAACACCTTTAAGGAGCCTATTAAAACATCAGACAGCTTCACTAGACCACTGACCTGGAAGTTACTACCTCTCACATCTTTAAAAGTTAAGGAACCTGCCCCCCAGATCTCATAAACTAAAATTTGAGAGAATTATCAAACTAGGAGTAGGCTATGCACAAATCTAAATGAGGAAAATACATGCAAGTGGTTCAGTTATACACAGTGCAACCTTGGGATCCACAATGGTTCCGTTCCAGCAGCCCTCCCTTCCCACATGCACAAAATTTGATGATTGTGTCCCATATTATTCAATGGTGGCAGTGTGTGCATAGTCAATTCAGTTAGGCCTCAAAAGCTTTAGTGAGGTGTCCCATTCCAATAGTTTTGTACTAAATCTAACTATTAGTTCCAAGTAGACATACTGAATGAATGGCAGAAGTGAAGCCAACATTTAAATATGATTCATTAATTCAGTGGGGCTACTTTGGTGGGAACTAACAACTGAATTTAGTTCTTAATGTTTTCAAACTTTGCAATTTCATTTAAAACATCAAAGAAAAACAATGACATGAGTCATGCCCCCAAGAGCTGCTTAATCAGCAGACTTGGATAGCAAGTACTGATTTCAGCACTTAAAATTGCCAAATGTTGTGAGTCATACAGACAGACAGATCAAGGAGAATGTTAGGAACACTAGTTATTACTACTCTTGACATCGCAAAAATGGAAAACATATGGGGTGCACTTGGTCAGCTATGAAAAAGAGGTTTGAAGTTCTCCTCTCCATCAATCAGAGCTCCAAAACTGTACTAAATTTGGCAAGCAGAGCACTAGATTCAGAAGACATTGCATTTTTTTCTTTCTCTTGGCTACACATGCCCACAGCTGGCGGCTGAGAATAGGTTGAACTGACATGTACTACATCAAGTTACATAAATGATACTCCCAGCCATTTGTGTACTTTATGGAATTACAGAATCATAGAATTCTTCATTTACCTTAATTGGCTTTGAACTTCTTTTATGCTTCCTCCGCCGAATAAGCTTCTCTCTGTCCTACAAAAGAAGATCAAGATCAAGGTAGAAGTTAAGGCATTAATGGTCAAATATCAGCACGGATCAGTAGTGGGGAGCCTCTGCCCTTGAGGCTCAAACTTGCCCCTCTGGACCTATGAGGCCACCTAAGTGGCCCCTTCCTCATAATACCATGATTTCTCACTCTCTCCATTACCACTCCCAAGGCTTTGTTCCCACCACTTTAGCTAAACTATACTGTTATTTTTAGTCCTAGCCTTTGACCCCACTAATTGTGGGAATGCAGTCTTCAAGGATACATCTGGAGGTAAGTGGTGGCCCTTGACTGACATACATTCTCCACTCTCTCCAAATTCTAAATTTCAGCAAAATAAAGAATATCTAGATTATTCTGTTGGGAATGGTTCTGCTGGTGAACTACATTTGACCAGCTCAGTACAGCCCCTACACCACCTGGCTTCCCACTGTGGAATCAGTCAAAATGGAAAATTCTACTCCCATAAGCTTTTAGGGGATCATGAGTGGGCATTTTAAAGATGTGGTTTTCAGAAGTCCAAGAAGGTAAAGTGGTTGTTCCCCACCCCCTCCCAAGAACTTTTGTGGCTGCCCATTTCTCTTCTAGATCAAGAAGAAAATAAGCTAACTTGACTGGGTCTAATTTTCCAGAGTCAGGCTGGTGAGTTAATTTCCCTGGAGGACTTATTCTTGGCTTCAGGATGGGAAAAGTTTCACCCCCTTCCCCACATGAGTTGGGAGTGGAGGGGAAGAGAGAACAAGAAGAAACCTGAAGGAAGAGAGAACAAGAAGATCTTGCCTGGCATATCAATCCCAACTGTGTTTGTTTTCTGAACCCTTCCTCCATCCTATTCCACTCTTGAAAATAGAATGGTGATACCTTGCAGGAGAACCACAAGTGAGGAGTGTTTGGTCCCCAATTGTATCTGGACTTCCACAGGCAATATTACAAACTCTTACTGTGCAAGCCAGGGCCAGTGCAAGTTGCAGTTAAATAATATCACGACCAGCACATATTGCTCATCACTGTTAAAAATGACAATGTGAAAATTGCCTCTTTTGTATTGTATCTTAAAAGAGAAGGGGAAGGAAGGCAAGACACGAGAAGCTGAACCAGAGAATCTCTGAACATCTCATGGTCTTTATATGGCAAATAAAGGTGAAAAATAAATTAGGAACAGGATGTAGAAGTGTATTTCTTTAATTACTTTTAATCTTGGGTGTGTTTATTTTTTAATGAGAAAGACTTTTGTGATATATTTCTTTACATTTAATTTCTTTGGGATTACAACCTACCCGTGTCAGCTCATCAATTATATTTTGTTGTTCTATAACTTGAAGCTTCAAAAATTCAGTTTCTTGTTCTTCATTTGCTTGGTCCAGGTCATTAAGAGATTTTAATTTCTTAAGAGGAGGATGCGTTGTCATTTTTTCTTTCTGTGTAGCAAGAAATGAAATAATAACATTATTGCAACTACTCTTATTAAAAATAGATTTTTGGCAATGTTTTCTGCTTTTACTCAGCTCCTGATTATAGTGACTATTTTAATTATTTCTTTTTGTCTTTGCCTCCTGCTTTTACTGTCAAATATATATGGACACAAGAGAGGTAACCAGCATGTTCTCAGTGGGTGAATGTATACATTATATCTTGCTATAGTGTTGAAAGAATCAAGGATATACTTCTCTGTTGAGAATGATAATAAATGTAATATAAGTAATAGTATAATGCCAGACATTACATATTCAAGTGTGGATTTTTGAAGTCAGCCATAACGGGTTCAAGAGGTAAGAGATTGGGGAAGTGCCCAGGATTGTAGCTTTAGGTGTGCATATTAATATTAACACACTAGAAAGCTCAAAAGCCAAATTTCTGGGTGTGCAAAATGGCAGAATATAATTCTTTCAATCTACAGTCAATGATCAGCTTTAATTTTACTGTGTTTGTACTACTGATATTATCTCTGTTTCCCTTATAACTTCAAATTCAGTTTTGAAATAGGAAAAAAGAGAGAGTTAAAAACTATGTGGTTAAAACCCAATAATGCAATGGAAGAATGTTTGCACTGCTATGTGTATACATAACTGTTCTAAATTAGTTATACAAACCATTTCTAGGTTTTCCTTTGCTATTGCTTTGAGTTTCTCCTCCATACGCTGCAAGGACTGCATGAGTTCATCATTTCTTTTGGAGATGCACTTATTTCTTTCCAGGAGAGGTTTGCATTGCTTTTCAGCTTCCCGAACACGTTTCAACTGCAACAACAACAACAATTTATAATTGATATGTGATATATCTCTCTCCTCCCCACAACACTGTAATTTCCCATGTTGGTGCTTATTATCTGAAGAAATTCTAGTATTATTTGGAAAGCTGATAGCAACAGTGTATTTGCTATAGTTTTTCTCTGACTGCAGTCAGGCATTTGTGCTTGCTTTTGGGTGCACAGTGGTGCCTGAGTTTGGAAGACTGAAGATGTTTTGAAAGGGGTTTTACTGGTTATGCTATATATCACTTTTCCCATCTTGTACTCTCCAGATATTTTGGACTGCAGCCACCATCAGTCCCTAACAGTTGTGTAGAAATCATAGGAATTGTAATGGCCAACTCCCATAATATCTAGGAAGCTATTTTCTGGAGGACATCAATTTGGGGAAAATAAGTCTATATGATCAAGTCAGTTTTGTTTCTGCTCTACAGGTTCGTAAAGTTTCAAATAGATTCAAAAACACGTGAAATGCAAGAATGGAGTGAAAGAAATATAGATGAAATATAGATGGCATGAAATGTCTCTCTCAAGCTATTTCCAGTTCTCTCATAAACAGATGAAAAAAAATTCCAAGCAAGAAACGTAACATGCTGTTCCACATCTCAATCCATGAGAAGAGATGGGGAATAATAATAATAATAATAATAATAATAATAATAATTCAGCCTGAAGCTAGCATGTAACTTTGGTGAGAAGTTATTGGTTCCTCTAAGAAGCACTAGAGCCCTCTTCTTGAGAATTCAAAATGCTGTTTCCTAAACTGCAAATCCCAGAAATCTATAGGATAGACTAATGGCAAATTTGATGAAATCATTCTGCTATAAATAGAAGTTAAACAATGTTTTAAAATGGAATTAGAATTAGGTTGGTTTAGGCAGTTATCATTTCTTGAATGTAGCAAGGCAATGCCTTGCTACATGACTTTCAAGTAAGAAGGTTAGGCTGCATTTTCTCTAGATTTTAAACGTAGCAGTATAAGAATATGGACAAAAGAGGATCCACCACCAGTATTATATATTTTATGTTATTAGTAAAGGTAAAGGTGTCCCCTTGACATTAAGTCTAGTCGTGTCCGACTCTGGGGGTGGTGCTCATTTCCATTTCTAAGTCGAAAAGCCATCTTTGTCCATAGACACTTCCAAGGTCATGTGACCAGCATGACTGAATGGAGCGAAGTCATTACTGTTATTATTCTCTTGCATTCTGCCTGGGAAGTTTTACTGAGTGGTAGCATGCATAATTCAAATACATAACTTAAAATAAAACAGCCACATCCTATTTTAAGTCCTTTTGTGTTTTGCTATAGCTTCTCTAACGCAATCGCAAGACAGCTAATTGCACTCACCAACTCATTCCGCTCATCTACAAGTAGTGTGTTCCTGTCCTCAAGCTTCCGTATAGTGGCATTGAGTTCAGCCATCCTCTTCTGGTTTCTGCGTAGGTCCTGCAAATAAATGTTTTCAATCATTAGAAGAAAAACATTATTTTTTTAAAAAAAATTAGAAGTGTTCGATGTAAACCATCGTATTTGCCAGTGCATACACAATTTTCATCCCTTTCCTCTCCAGATGGCTGTATTGGATATCTTTACAATAAAGAATTTGAAAAAAATGTTACTGTTTTGGACTGCAACTCCCAGAAGCTTCCATTTATCTGGGCCATGAGCATGTTAATTGCCAGGCTAGTTGGGAGGCCCAGGGAGTTGTCGTTCAAAAGAACAACTCTTCAACTTCTTTATTTAGAACTGTTATAGCCATGCCAGTTGAGCCATGTGCCTATGGGTTTATCTCTGGAGATGGCTGTAAAGTTCAAAGAGGCACAACAATCTGAGCAGAGTCAATAACAGTTTCCTGAATTGAAATCATTATAACTCTGGTCCTGTCTTAGTGGTGTTTTTACATTAATAATTTTCATGTTTGTTAGTCAAACCTGATATATTTTTTTCACCTAGAGTGAAGGACAAAATAGAATCTTCCTTACTTTTGACATACAGAATCTGACTGCAATCAGCAGCTGGAACTTTCTCTGAATTTAATGACAGGACAGTATCCTTCACTGCATCCCAGGGAGGCCAGATAGTTTCTAGGGTGGAGACCAGGCTGAATTGAAAGATGCAACTGCTCTGTATCTCCTATGCCTGGTACCTTGGGTTTTAGTCAGAGTTTTAAAGGAGTTATCCATGGTGTTGAATGAACCCTGAGTCCAAAATAGCAAATCTTGGTTTAAAGTGCAGTCAGCCCTCCACATTTGCAGATTTAACTTTTGTGGATTTGATTATTAGCAGATTTGATCAATGTGGGCTCTCTATGAATCTTTAGGTTCTCCAGAATGACTTTGTGGTCAAGTTCCTTTAGAGTTATGCTGTTAGACCAAGAGATTCCTTGAGAGCTAGGCAAAAAATGGATTTCGATTTGTGTTTTTCCACTGATGCAAGGGACCTGCACCCCTAAAATTGGGGAGTCTATGATAGATCACTGATGGGATGTTGATATCTCAGTGTAATTGTTTCCCCTTCTGTTCCATATCTTATCAAAGTCACCGAAGGTGATGAATCCTTGAACCTATCATTATTTTACATCTGCACTCTATATCAGATGGGGATCACATCACATAATTATCCCAATAGAGCCACATAGTTACTAGTTGGAAGTCTTACAGGAAAGTTCCTTGGCAGAAATCTCAAATCCCAAAGAATAATCTCAGGCTTTTCTCTTTGAGTATTTTTTTATTCCACTATTTTTACACAAGCAAGACAATAATTGCTGTGGTGTGTGCTTTATCCCATGATTCAATCACAAATACATATCATGGCCTTAGGAAAACCAGTACCATTCTACCTTGGTGCACTTGCACATGCACACACACCTCTACCTGCTCTGCAACATAAAGATATAACAATGGCTTTGTTGCTGTGGTGGAAATAGTGCAGCCCAATGCTGCACTATTGCCTTGCTCCTCCAGACATCTGGACTCAAACCCCAATGTTAAAAAATAAACTCAAAAACATTCTTCCCCAGCCAACAACAAATTCCTAGTAAACCATTTTCTCCCTAAATGCTGTCTCAGGCTTCTATCCCACCTTGATGCAGAAACAAATAGCTCCAAAAGTGGCCAGAAAATTTCTTGCAACCTGCAGGGGAAATGAAATTGACTTTCAGACCCCTAGTGTGTGCCAACCTCTACTTCTCTGCATTGTTTTTTTTTTTGGGCCAGAGGGACAGTGCTTTAGAAATTGCCTCTGTAGTCAACTTCTCTGATTGAGTTTGACTACTGTTTTTTGTTTTGAATAGTGGCAAGCATTACAACTCCATACTGAAGTGAATTCTTAAGATCGCCACAAGGGGGTGCATTTAATACACCACATACCAGTGCTTTCTTTCTGGGAGGCAAGACCATGATGCAAGGAGTGGGCAAAGTGGATGGAGGCAAACTCTAGTGTTTCTAGTTACATTGAAACATATATAAAAATCCTTCTCACCGGACTGCTGCAGTGTTCAGAGCCATCTCCTGCTCTGCCTGGGATCTCCCTCTTGGGACTGCTCATGTTACATTCAGCCTCCTTCACTAAGAAGAGTTGCTCATCCAAAGCCTCTTTCTGTAGCTGAAGCTTCTGAACGTAACCTGTCAGGGTTTCCAGCTCTTTCTCCAAAGAAAAGATGGTTCTGTCTTTCGCTTTGATCTCATCCATCTGAATGAAGACATATAAGGGCAGTATTATCACATGAGAACTACAAATTGATGTATTTTAAACACTTTGCATGATTGTCATGTTTGATACTCTGTGCCAGTTTTCTATATTACCAAACATAGAGGCATCAGAGATGAATAACCCCTGTTCAGGTGTTCCATAAAGTAGCAAAAGTAAACAAATGAAAATACTTATCCCACCTTCACCTCATCCTATTCTTGTTATAATTCACCACATGTACATGGACAGACCCAGATTTTGGAAAAATGAGGCCCTGTGCCAGTCCTTCCTTGCACCCTGGAGCAGGTCAGCCAAGAAGGCCTATACTGCCTGCTTTGTGGCACTCCCAGAGACAATAAGCTCTATCATTATGTCGGGAATTGCTCTGAAACAGAACGCCATCAAATTTAAAATTGCACCACATAAGCAAAAGCAACTGTAAACCCATTATCTTTGGCAGGATGATGCCCCCCCCCCCAAGCCGACGGGGCCCTGTGTTTACGCATGCCTAAACACAATGGTAAATCCGGCAGTAATCATGTAAGAGAAGGAGTTCCTCTACTGCTCTTCTTGAAATTAGGTACCTGGGTTATTGGTTTTTCCATTGGAAAAAAATGGGCTATATTCTGAGGCTCTTCCACACTACACAACTATAGTGATATGAATTCATTTTAATTTCCATCCTAGGGTTTGTAATTTGGTCAGAAGCACCAGAAGAACTGGTGCTGAGTCCAATCCCCAAAATAGGTCCAGAACTTTGGATAGTTCAATGTGTTGTTGAAGGTTTTCATGGCCAGAATCACTGGGTTGCTGTAAGTTTTTTGGGCTGTATGACCATGTTCCAGAAGCATTCTCTCCTGACATGTTGCCTGCAGGTGAAATGTCAGGAGAGAATGCTTCTGGAACATGACCATACAGCCCAAAAAACTTACAGCAACCCTTTTGATAATTCATTTAAAGTTTGGACCAATCAAAAAGTAGCTTCCCTAGCCCTCCAATTATGGGAGCCACTGTGGCTATTTGTTTGAATCAACACTATAGTTTTTAGGATTTATAGTTTGGTGAGCTATCAATGCTCTTGAGCCATGGCAGTTAAAGGCATGTCAAACTGCATTAATTCTACTGTGTAGATGTGCCCATAGCCATGCTAATTCACGAGGCAGATGACAATCAAGTAACCACCTAATATTGGCTAAATGTTCAGGAAAGGGGTGAGGAACCTTTATTTTGAAGAAAAAAAAGGCTCGAGCTATTTTGAATATATGTTCTTTTTGCTGTCCTTAACAGTTGGCTGTTGAACAAATGAGAGGATAACTCACTGTTCTTCTAATGAATTGGTGCAAGTGTTATGACGACGCTTGCAAACTTCTGTTTTGCACACTGAGTCCTCAAAGTTGCTGGCTATCTAGAAGGACTCACTTACCAGTCTGCGGATATCCCTTTCACTCTCCCACTTGATCTTGGAGATGGCTTCCTGATGGGAATGGTGTTCACTTCGTAGATCTCCAGCTTTGATCTTATCTGCTTGGATCATATTATTCAGGGCTTCATCCATCTGCTTTTTGGCAGACTTTAACTCAGTGATTTCTTGCAAAAGCTTAAGGCGCTCAGAGTCAAATTGTTTCCTAGCCTCTTCCCGAGCCTCAATGGTCAGGGCTGTCCGTACTTTGTCACTGCTTCCTTCCCGCAAGGCAAACAGAGCTGACTTAAGTCGCTGAATTTCACTGTCTCTAATTTTCATTGTCCGTGTCATTTCTTGCTCATGCTGCTTGATGAGGTTTTCCCGCACAGCCTGCAACTCCTTCATCTTCTCTTCATGGAGCTTCGCTTTCAGTTCAGTAATCTGCACTGTCTGCTTGCGCTGCTCCAGCTCCCGGATCCGCTTGGTTTCTTGTGTTTTCTCCCTTTCGAGCCTACTTACCTGCAAAGAAAAAATGTTCTTAATAATAATAATTTCAACAACAACAACAAAACAATTACAGGACCATATTTTCCAGTATGAGTCTGTCCACTTTTTGAGATCTTCGGGGGGGGGGGGGGGGCTTGTCTCTTCTCATGATACTCATAGGTATACCAGTGGAAATGTGGGAAAAAGCCTTCTCAGTGATGACATCCAGATTTTGGAATTTCCTTCACAGAGAGATTAGATCATGAGACTGACTGGTATCTCCTACCTTTCTGAAGGTAGCCTTAGACACTGTTGTTGTTGTTTAAGCAAGCCTTAGAAATCCAGCATGGTATAGCTGTATGACTAGAACAGCAGGAATCCAGGGTCAAATCTCCCCTTAACCCTGGAAACCTATTGGGGGTGAATTTGGGCAAGTCACACTTTTTTAACCTCAGAGGAAGGCATTGACAACCCCCATCTGAAAAAATTATGCCAAGAAAACCCTGTGACAGCTTCACCTTAGGATCACCATGAGTCAGAAATGATTTGGAGGTATACAACAACTACTACTACTACTACATGGCCTTAGAAGTAAAGCCAGCATGGTGTAGGGATTTGAGCATTGAACCATGACTCTAGAAACCAAGGACCTTTTCACATGGCCCCTGGGGCTGTAACCTTTCATTGAAAGCTGCCGGGAAAAGGGCAGGTGCTCGGGGCACTTTGTGGTGTCCTTTTCTCCTTCTCCCATCACATTGGCATTGGTGCCCTGTCCATGTTCCCATCAGATGGGTGAAAGGGCGGCAACACATAGTCTTTCAGTCTCAGAAGGCAAAAGTAAAGCCCATCTGAATAAATCCTGTCATAACTAAGAAAAAAAAACCTTCAAAACATATAAGAACCAAATAAAGGTATTAGAAGACTAAAGCCTAATTTACAATGACATCTTAGATGTGTGGGGTCAGATCAGAGGGGTCAGATCAGACCTCAGTTGTACGGGGGTTGGGCTGGCTTAATCAAGGGAAAGTGGCTTAACACAGTTTTCATGTCAGGTTAAGCTACTTCAGGTGAAAATCTAATTCTTAAAGCAGAAGTCATGTTCTTCACTGAGTTAATGCCTGTCCAGATAGCTGCAGCCAGTTTAAAGAAGACATCTCAAAAGCTATCTCACATCCAGGAAAGCAGGATGGTTGTCCCCTCTCATTCCCTGCCCCCATGTCTATGCTGGCTATGTGATCTGCAAATGAGGAGTGGAGGAAGAAGAGGGGGGTTTTCCTCTCCATTTTCCAATCCTTCTTCATGGTAGTAGGAAGGAGTGGGACCCAGTAGTAGAAGGAGGATTCCCCAGCATAAGGTGGCCATGTAGCTGCTGAAGCCAGCAGTGACATGGGTGCAGTGGAGCCTAATTGGTTTTGTCATGGCTGAGCAGTGGGGTGTCTTGACTCAAAGAGTCTATGCTGGGTCACAAAGAAGACTGGTACCAGCCTCTCCGATTATGGTTCCAGATTATATATATAGTCTGTGTAGAACCACCCTGATTGCTCAGTGGGAAAGGCCCTTCCATAGTATGCTGCATTGCCTATTTGCTTTCTTTTCAATAGTTATGTGTTCACTGGTTTTGACTTTATTGATAATTTAATTGCATTTTTAACTTTCTAGTTGGATTTGCTTTATCTTTTATAAGTTACCTTGAGGCCCCATATGGGAAAACAGTGGACTTATGATAAGACAAGGGTTGATCCACCATAATCATAACCACCATCTTGTATTTTTACTGTTTGTGACCACAGAGATTCTGTAATCCCCTATACTCACAGAATGTGCATTTGTTGTATAATTGCAAATTACTTGGGGTTGTCAGTGTGATGAACAACCAGGTTTAACCTAAGCTTTGCTGAAATGTGAACAGTGAATCCTAAGCAATTCACACCTTTCTAAAATGTGAAAGTTAATCTTCTGCTGTCTTTCTTGAGGGACTTGCACATAGCTTCTATTGCAATTTCTCTAAATAGCAGAGGCAAAACTAGGACTTTTGTTTTTACTGTGTTCTTACTATGTATTTTAATATATTGTACATATGGATGGTAGGTTTAAAGAACTAAATCAAAAGATGCAAATGCTTTATGCAAAAAGGAAAAACAAACACGATAAAGGAAAAAAAGGACAATGCCCTACTGGTGAGTCACCTGGAACAGCTATTTTAGTTGATACAACAGATCTACAAAACGTAATGTATTACTATTGAATGTGTATACTCTTCAATGTATAAACATGAAATAGTAATATATTGCCCACTGGAAAGTCGCTAAGGTACTGCAAAGGGAAAAAAGGGTAGGAGAGCCATTCTGTCAGTCCAATGGCAAGGCCGGTTCCTTTCAGAGACTCCTTGAATAGTTTTCTTTCCCTCCTTCAAAGAAAACTGTATCTTTAAGAACTGATGCTTGAGGCCTAAATTAAATTGTTAATGTCAGGCTGGATCTACACTGCCATATAAAATCCAGATTTTCTGGTTTGAATTGGATTACATGGCAGTGTAGACTCATATAATCCAGTTCAAAGCAGATAATGTGGATTATCTGCTTTGATAATCTGAATTATATGGCAGTGTTGCATGAGCCTCAACTAGAGTAGACCAACAGAATCAAAGTGAACTAGTTAAAATATATAAGTTTAATTGATTCAAATGATCCTGTCTACTTGGGACCAACAATTGGATTGATACCAATTTGCTTCATTCTCCTCGCTTCTTTTTTCTTTCTCTGTCTGAGTCCTGTGTTTGGAGACTCATAAGATGATCACTTTATTTTATTGGTCTGGAAGAGTAGCTGTGTTTTGGAGGCTTTTCATTGAACAGCAAGGGGGAAACAATTATATAAATATGCAGTAATTGAGAGTGCTGGAGCCAGTGTGATAAACTAGCCTGAGCATTTTACTAGGATTCTGGGAAACTATGTTTTGAATTCCCGCTCAGTCACAGAAATCCCCTGGATGACCTTGGGAAAAACAAACTCTCTTAGAGAAAGATAATGGCAAACCTCTTCTGGGTTAATTTTGCCAGGAAAGCCTGAAGACAGAGTCACCATAAGTTAGAAACATTTTGAGGGTACACAACAACAAATTAAGAGTACCTTCTGATAGGCTTTAGCATTTTGATCAGCCTATTGTCAGAGATTTTATCTGACACTGTGAGGGCAGGGCCAGCCACTACTTTGTTGGCGTTCAGTACCGTCAAATCATTTCCAGCCTATGGCAATTCTAAGGCAAACCTATCACAGATTTTATTGGAAACATTTGTTCGGGGTGGGGTGGAGGATTTGCTATTACTACTTCTGTTTCTAGTAGTAGTTCAACTGGACAATTCTCTTTGGAACTGTAAACTTCAATCTATATCCCAGCTTATTTAACACAAAGAGAAACAAAAGTAATGTTTTACAGTTTATCCATCCATCTTCACTAAAAATACATTAAGAGAAATGCTATGTACTCAAGGACATACCATTTTCCTCCGGGCCAGCTTAAAGTATTTTGTTGCTTGAGGCTGAAAACAAAAGGACTGCTTGGGAAGGCACTTTTAGGAAGAATGAATAGAATAACTTCTGAGCAGTGGCAAGAAGGTGCTCCGAGGCCATTAAATTCCTCAAGAAACTTGATAGGTATGTCAAAATTGAGAAAACAGGGTATCCATTGTTGTCAAGACAAGTTATTGTGATATCCAGCCACTTCTGTAATAGTGTTTATTAAAAGCTAGGGAACATAATAGTATCTCATAGTTATTCAGGTGGAACATGTTGCTTGTTTCATAAAGGATAGTGCAGCTGTTGGTCCAAAGTAAGGATCAAATCTTTCCTCCAATGAACACCCAATTCCAATCTTTCTCCCTCTAGGTTGCAGAATTGCCCCAGAAAGAATCTGTCCACAACTTGCTCACCTACAGGGCAAGGCAAAAGATTATGACTTCACAGAGAATCGTTCACATTTCTGAAGCGTAAATTTAGTGACGTTGCATCCACAACGTTGTGACATATTAACACTTTTTTTCCTCCTGTTGTTTGATTATCATTCTTAACTCTCTTAATTGTGTATACATTCACATAGTTTTACAGCTGCTAAGTCATGCTTACCTTTGTGTTATATCTTCAACTAGATTGTAGTGACATATTTGCCTATTTCTAAATATTTGCCTATATTACATTTGGTAATATGAAAAAGCAGGGATGGAAAGAAAAAGTGCTGGGGGGGGGGGGGGCATAAGAGTGTCCTAAACCTCCAACAAGAATTCTCAGCAAACCCCAAAATATGCCTTAGGACTAATCCCAGATCCCCAAATAGACTCATTTATTCTCTCTCTCTCTCCCTCTCTCCCCCCCTCTTGTGTCTGGAGAAGGGAGGTAATTCAGAGAGAAAGATGGTTATCATAGCTGGTGTTCCAATAGCCAGTGCACAATGATGTTTGCATCATTGTGAGCCAGCCAACAGAACCCAGATGGTTAGGCAATAGCTTCCTGAGTGTAGTCTGGCTTCTCTCCCCCAACCTTACACAGGGAGAGGAGAAGGATGAGCCAGGAGTGGATCCCAGAAGGCAGTAGCCTCCAGATCCTCACCTGCTTTCCCACATCCTCCTAATGTTGAATGTTGGATCTCCTCTCTTTCTTCCTTCATGAGACCTCTTCAAAAATTTTATAGTTTTGTAGAGGTTTGGCAGGGGGAAGAAAATTGATTGAGTTGCTTGTTCTTCCAGGAATTAATAATTTAATACAGCATATTCAAAAAAAGAAAAGAAAAAAGAAAAGCGGGTGGGAAAGAGATAGATTGAAAACACAACAGTAAGACAATGTTATGATATAGTATAGATTTTTAAATTAATTTTAAACAGTTTAAAATGATGATAAATGTCAAAAGAGGGCAATATTTTAATCTCTGGGGCAGACATGGAATCCTTGCCTCATGCTAAAATGACTAAAATTATATGCAAGTTCTCTGTGGAGGGTATTTCTCAAATAAAGCACCACTGCAAAAAGATTATCTCCATGGGT